ATCCATCTTAGACTTCAGAATTACCAAGCGCGAAGGAGAGAAGCAAAAATGCCTTCCTAAAATTCATTTCAGTGCTGTACCAGATCAGAGTAGGAGGGATAAGGGACTGAAAACTTTTGGGAACAAACCAAATTAACAATTCAAACTGCAGAGAAGTTGCATCTGTCACAGCAATTGAACACACACAAACAGCCTGAGAATGATACACATTGCCTCAGGGTATTTTTAATCAGACTTACTGTTTTTGGTCCCTTCTTTAAATTCATTGTCTAGTAGAATGTTTAGGGTGCACTGGACCTCACAGTCTGTAGTGAAAGACCATATTTACATGGATGTAACTGTATTAAAACACCACGTCCCCTGCTATTGTGGAGTGTACCCCCTTGCCACAGAATTATGTTTAAGAATCGGTGCTTTGTTTTTACAGCACTTTCTTACCCTCACAGCACTGCTGGCACATTTTTTGAGGCTAACCAGTTTCTTGCTGTCTCCCTGAAATAATAGCTGCAAAAAGTGAGAACTGACCACTTCAATCAATAAGGTTAAGTTTGATCATTTCACTACCCTTGTTGTTAGCCTTTTAGTTTGCCTGACATTTTAACAGAAAACCTACAAACATACTTGCTCTCTGATTCAAATGATCTTTCCTACCTCCACAAGTGCTGTTACTAATTCAGCAGCAAAGATTAGGTCTCTAGAAAACTAGTCTTCTGTTTTCTTGAACTCCTTGACTGTGCTGGTAGAAATCACTTAGGAGACCGTGATCGCATCGAGTGAGCCACTTTGTTATTCTTCTCTTCGGCGTAGAGCATAACTACTATCCATCACATTTATTAATAAAAATGGCATTAAGCAGTAGTATTCTAATGAGTTTATCCTGTGGGAGAAATTCTGAGAATATCAGATCAAGACATATACTTGGGTTTCAGTTTCTCCAGAACTATGTTAGATACCCCCAAAAATTTCTTACCCGCTTATCATAGCGAAGCTAGCTACAACCAATAAATTTATTACAACCACTAAATTTATTAATGAGACCAAAAGACGGCTTGGTTATTAATAAACAGAAAATAAACTCCCCCACAACACTTGCGAGACAAAAAGAAAGACTCGAGTCATCTTCTGTATGATTGACTTAATAGCTACAATAAATACATAGAAACAAAGTTGTTAATTTGGCAACCAGACAGCTTTCATCTAAAGCTGGGGGAAAGCTAACAACAACTTGTGTTTTAAGGAGTCTCTCTCAGACAAAACTGTGTATTTTGTAAACTGTCCTGCAAGAGCAATACTTACATGGTTTCAAGCCGATAATCATCCAAAATAGTTTAATGTTATCCCTGAGTGGTGAAGAGTAAAGAATGGACTAGGGTTTTAATTACCTAGCAGCATGCTACTGCTAACTCCCAGCTGTTCACAAGAGAGCTCCATGATCCAGAAGTGGGGGGAAGGCAGATAGGGATAATTCCTAAAATATTTCTCCACTGCAACAAGTCTAAACAGGTCCATAATACTGATCACTGGTCATTTCTCAGAAAATTAATAATTTAAGGTCAGCTTCAAAGGCCAGCTATTTTCAACAAGCAGAACGAAGCTTAGGCTCAACAACATCCCTTTTCCAATTTCTTTCCTCTCTGTTTGCAACATTATTAAACTGGTGATCTACTCAGTAAAAAGCAGGTAAATTATTAAACTGGTGATCTACTCAGTAAAAAACAGGTAATGGGTATTTAAGCAAAAAAAATAATAGAAAAATTAAAAAATGGAAAGAATTCATTTAATGCTTCTTTCATGCATGTTATTTGAAATGGTGCTACAGTAAGAGTAGATCCAGTGCTCCTTTTAAGAAAAATACAACCGAACAGTTGTATTTAGTCTAATTTTTCAGGTTTCCATTTCCCAGTGCCCTCCCCTCACCCCCATTACATTCTTTTTATTACGCAAAGGAAAGAGAAATATTTAAGGGAAGCTGAAGAAATTCACATATTCTACCTATTTCACATATAAGACCGATGGCTTTCCTGAAGGTACCAAACATACTTCTATTTCATAACACAGCCCCGAAAATGCCAGAATTCTGCTCTAATCACCCAAGATGCCCAACCAAGTCTTTGTACTCAACATATTACCATGTATCACTCCTAAAACACAAAGTGTCATTGACAAAGGGAGCCTGATGCAATTTATTTCACTGTCGCTTGCATATTATTTCAACTCTTGAGACAGGACAGGCAGTGCTTTTCTTGGCAGCTGCAGTAGGGCTGGTGCATTTCAAAGCTTTGAAGCCAAAGGTCAAAATTTTAGCCACTGAAGAAGTTAAAAAACTCCTCCAGTGCAAAATCTGTGTCCCACTATTATTATGAAGCTGAATGCAGAAAACAGTAAGGCATTTATTAAATATTGTAAATAACAATTTCCGGAGTCAATACGGTCTAAAGATGTTCTAAACTTATTTAACTATCACCACTGAAATGTACCATAACACTCTCTCTCTCTACAACTACCTAAAAGGAGGGTGTAGAGAGATGGGGGTCAGTCTCTTCTCCCAAGTCACAGGCGACAGGATGAGAGGAAATGGCCTCAAGTTATGCCAGGGGAGGTTCAGGCTGGATATTAGGAAAAAATTTTTCACCGTAAGAGTTATCAAACATTGGACTGGGCTGCCCAGGGAGGTGGTTGAGGCACCATCCCTGGAGGTGTTCAAAAGATGGGTTGATGTAGTGCTGGGAGATACGGTTTAGTGATGGTGTTGCTTTTTGTTTTTCTTTTTGTTTGTTGTGTAGGTGTTTATTTTTGTCAAAATTAGCTTGACGGTTGGACAAGATGATCTTTAAGGTCCCTTCCAACCTAGAAGATTCTGTGATTCTGTGATAACAGTCAGATCCAGCCACAAAGCTTGCTACCTGACACTGCAGCTCACCTTGTCATCTGTCCAGTGAAAATTCCTCCCATGTCCAAACAGCTAACAAAGCTAATCCTTCCAAGTATATTTTCTAATGCAAAATATACCACTTATCGATATCCGCTGCTTTCAGAGCGAGTGCCTCTGTCTTCGCTGACAAGTTGAATGCCAGCTCTGAGCTTGACATGATGTATAAAAATGTCAAATTATCTCATTACAAAAGTTTTAAATGAAAACATAGATGAATACAAATGAGAGTACCTCTGCAGGGAACTCCTATGACAAATCGGATCTTTGTCACTGAATGAATGACATATTTGATTAAAGAATTTTCCCCAAGCAAAAATAATTTCACCCGCATACCAGTCATGTTTTTTTCAAATGCAAGCAATTTCCTTTAATCCTTAAAAGCCTGCATGCAATGCATAGTTATTACAGAGCTATAACCACTTCCAAACAGGACCGGATTATGATTTATCACACTGGAAACCATCTTTCTCCACTAGCTGTCCTCTGGATCTCTATGGAATTAGGCACTTGATCCAATTATTTTCCATAAAAGAGGGTCTGAAAAACAAATAGCTTAACAAAAACCCTAAGAAGAAGAATACTGCTCAGAGTGTTTGATTCACACATACACTATGCCAGTGGGGTGGGTCTAAGGAAGATAAATGATTTTGAAGAGCCAGCTACCACTATAAAAGTTGGCAAGAAACAGGTGCTAAATCCGTATCAGAAGCAGTGAGAGCAAAGGGAGGAGGCACATCTACAGCTCCCAACACAGTGTCTTTCTTCAACTGATGTCCTGTTGGAAACGACGACATTTTCACAAGAGCAGTCAGGTCATTCCCAGTGTCAGTTTAGCAGCATCACACCTTGCAAATTCTGTTCAACACGGTGATGTGCACAGGCTTTAAAGGAAACAAAAGACTCGGGACGCAGAGCAACAGATCATACTGGATACTGTATTTTAAGCGGGGGCAATTTATAAAAACAACAATAACAGCTCATGACTCTGTTGATCAGCTCTCCCTTCCCAAGGAAAGCATTTGGCAATGCCTGGCTCTCTAGGTTGGTGTCACGGTATGCGGTTGTGATTACAGAGCTGTGTACAGTACCTCTCCCTGCAGCTTCCAGAGTGTGCCTGTACATATGTGTGTATGTATATATATATACACACACATATCCCCGCATCTTAGGGCTTGGTGGCCTCAGGCTGCTCCCCCCGGGGCCGGCTCGGGGCTTGCGGAGCTCCCCGCGGCCCTGCAGCACCGCCGAAGCCGCC